TAGAGAAATGTCCCAGGCCTGGCCAGGAGGCAGCTATCTCCTGGCCCAGTGCTCCCTGGGCCAGCACTTGGGGGAAGCCTAAAGCTCCCCCTGGTGGTGGCAGAGGCCCATTGCAGGGCCCCAGGAAGCAGGAGCAGTTTGCTCCCACTATTAGCAGCAAATCTGTTTCCGCGTCCCGACATGTGTAGGTGCCTGCCCAGGAGTGTTTTTCGCGAGTAGTTTACTCAGTAAACTGCTCCCGGATCTAACATATGTGTAGACACACCCATAGAGAAGCAGAGCTGGAAGAGACCTCTAGAGGTAATTTAGTTCAACTCCTTGCCTGAGCCAGCATCATCCCTATCAAAAATATCCCATACAACCATAATCTAAACTCTACATGAGAATACCATCAACCCTGACACAACATAGACTTAACACCCTCACCTGCCACAGGTAAAGCTGGGGAACTATGGCAGCCAGGGTCCTGCTTTTATAAAATGTTGTCAATATATGCTCAAGAGGTCCCTGGTAGAGGACCATGTCCCACATTACAGGGGAAGGCAAAACCTTCCACAGTCCACATGAACCTGACCATGGGGTAAAATTCCTTCCTGACCTCAAATATTGTGATCATTTTGTGAATATTTGACCCTGAGTGGAGGGAAAAGACCCTCTAGCCTGAAACCTCTTTGTTCCTAACAGAAGAATCTGCACACCCCAGTTGAAGTCCCTTGCTTGCTGTAACCAACACCTAATGCCTCTGGGAAGGCTTAAAAACACCTGACACATTTGCAGTGGTACATCACTAACACTGTAGGTAGCTGTATAGACATATACAACAACATCTATCACCCACTGTCTGAGTACCTAAATACAGAGGTAAATCCGTTCCTTCTATTGATACCATAATTGTGGTAGTTACAGCATATTTGTGATGGGTAATAAACATTGAAGTTGGAGAACATAGTAGAAATATTAGGCATAATAATTTTATCAAATAATGCTTATTCTAAGCATGAAAATAAAATTGCTTATCCAGAGAATTTGGTGAATCCAAAAATAAGAGTTTGGTGCTTTTGCCCTTTTTTTTGGTCTGTCTTGGTTCCTGCTTAGCTTAAGTTAAACACTAGGGCTGTGAGACGCTTCAGTTGCTGATTTGATTTGGCAGAGATTTGGCCTAATTTGGTGGCCAAATCTCTGAATCCAAATCAAATCAGGAGACCCGTTAATCTCTCCGAATCAAATTGGAAACCTCCGAATTGATTCGGAGAGATTTGGTGATTCGGACATAGATACAGCTTTAAATGTTTTTTCTACATACCTCAAAGTAGCAGATGGCTCATGATCACTGCGATGCTGGGGTGCATAGAGTGTCCCACAGGAGTGCAGAGGGTTCCCCAGTGTGGTCAGTGGCAGACCCGGAAGTGGAACAGAAGGACTTCCGGTCCGCTTCTGGGTCTGCTGGAAAGTGCTCTGGGGGACCCCACCACACCCACCTGTCTTGGTGACTAGTGTCTCTTGGGTCTGGGGGACACCCGGGGTCCCCCCATGGTTGATTGCCGAGCCGGGGAGCATGGGGGTGGGGGGCCCTGCGTGCTCCCCAGTGGACCTGGAAGTGGACCAGAAGCACTTTCAGTCCACTTCTGGGTTCACCACTGAGCATGCAGGCCCCACCCCCACAACTCCTGTGGGGTATGCTCCAACCCCCCCACCATTTTAGCATTCATGAGCTGTGCATGGTACCTTGAAGTATGTAGAAAAAACATTTAAAGCTGTGTCTATGGCCAAATCACTGCTTCTCTGAATAAGCATCAAATCTTCAGATTCAGCCGAATACAATTAAGGACAGTGATCTGAATCAATGAACTGAATCAGTGTCCCTGATTTGGGCTAAATTTGAATCGAATACGGCCCATTTTGCACACCCCTATTAAACACCCCAAACATGATACCTTTCTTTGACTAATACAATTCCTTTAAAAATTAAGCTAGCTCTAGCAATGATTAGGTGAATGTCCACAAAGTCTTCTAGATTTTGAGACAGCCAACTGTAACTTAATGACAATCTTCATGCAAAACACAGAGCTGGATTTAGGTTTTTCCCTCCTCTCCTCTCCCTCTTCTTCTCAGGATAAATTTGTGGCTCTACTTCTCTAGGTAAAGTGTTACAGGAGGTGTTGTTTTTCAGGCGTGTTCTCTTTTGGTGTGGATAGATGTCAGAAAGCAGTGTGATCTGGTGGATAGGACATTGGACAGAATCTCTGGGATCCTGAGTTCTATGTCCAGCTCTGCCAATGACCTGCCGGGGTGCACGCACACATACTAAGTCAACTTAAAATAAGGTGACTTTAAGTCAACTTAACTAAATTGACTTAAGTTAAGCTTCTCGGAACATACACATATACAGCTCCTTGACATGATGGTAGCCATCTTGTGAGTTATGTCAACTTAACTAATACAACTCAATATACCTCAGAGGTGCATTATCTTGCATCACATTTAAGTGCTTCACATGTGTGTGTGTATGCTCTGACAGTTAAGTTAACTTAAAAAAGTTAAGTCGGCTTAGCTGTCAGAAAGTTAGTATGCGTGTACACACCCCTGGTTAGCTTTAGACAAGTCAGTTCATCGAATCGACTTGAATCGTGCTGTGTTTTATGTCTGTTAAGGCGCAAGGTCAGTTTCTAAATGAGTTCAAATGGTTCCAGGAAAAATAGGGCCCTTGGCTTTTAAGTGCTACTGGAAAACAAGCAAGCAATAAAACAAAATCAAAACAAAATGCCTGTTGCTATATGTGTACATGTCACATGTTGAGTTTTTGTTTTGGGGTTATTTTCTGCTTCACCCAAATTATTTTTAGAGGAAAAAACTTAGTTACAAACCCTGCCTATTCATATAACTACATAAAATTTTTACTTACTGGCAAAAGGACAGATTTTCCTTCTAGGCAAGCATAATTACAATGTATCCATGTACTACTACACTAACTACTGCCCATATTTGATTCCAGGCTAAATAACAAAGTAAATTAATACAAGCTGATCATATGTTTAAAACTAAAAGCTGAATGCCAGAATTTCTCTTGGACTTTTGATCTTCTGATACTCTCCTGGTAATACTTCTATTACATCTCCCATTGATATAACTGTTAATCTGTGGGTGTGAGGAAAGCAAGTTAAAGAAGAGTTTTGTGTATCAATGCCAGTGTGTTCTTACATACTTACCCACAACAAATTCTTCTCTGATGTAGTGTTTATCTTTGTTACTACTCTCTTTCCCTGTAGCGGATTCTGGATTCACCTTCAGGAACTTATTTCTCTCTGTTTTCATGAGTTTGTTCTGTGAAACTTCTGTATCCTGGAAACAGAATTTAAGGTAAGAATTTACTTTTTATGAACTAAATAAAACATGAAAGTTCTTATACCTAGGAGCTCATATTAGTTACCTCGGAAACCCTGTTTAAAAAGCAACTTCATAGAAAAATGCCCTTTCCTTAATTTTGGTGGGGATGCTGGTACTTCACTACATCTGCAACAATAACATATGTTGTTCTTGGAGCATCCCAAATAAAGGGATTTCCTATATCACTATTTAAAAAAAATCACACTTTAACCAATTTAGAAATGGCCTTACCCTGTAAGTTTTACCTGTGTGCTGCTGACAGTCACCCAGTAGGATCTAGGGGAAAATCAGTTCCACCACAAGTTGTTTCTTGCTAGTGCTATAAGCAAAGCCATATACTTATTATTTGGGTGAAAACTCTGTCAGAAAAAATGAATTTACTCTCTCAATAGTCTCATCCAGAGGTGACACTGGCTAGTACTGTGCCCTAGGTGGCAGCAGCACATGCTGCAGTAGCCAAAGTTATGCTGCTGCTGGGGGGGATGTCACCTCCTTTTTTGCTCCTGAGATGCATGTTGAGACACTGTTTTTGGGTGTCAGAAAAGGAGGTGCCATCTTCACCAGCAGCAAAAAATCTCCATCTGGGTGCCATCATCGCTTCTCTGCTTTCCTTGCTGTTGGAGCTGCTGCAGGAAGGTGCAGGGCATTGGGAGGGAGAAGAGGGGAGAGGGTGAGTGAGGTGCACCACTAACTTAATTCTGGTTCTGCCCTCCCCCCCTCAAACGCTTAAGTAGTGCTGAGGGCTTGTGCCCTGCTTGCCCACCCATCATTACACTAGTAGCCTCCTCATGGGTGATTTCCACCAGTATCAGTAACTTTCATCATTCCTGGTACTCTGTCCCTGATGTTTTACATCACTCTGCCATCTTTCAACAGCTTCCTAAATCAACTGGAGACAGCATGGAAAAAATGGAAATTTTTTTTTTTGAATGTTGGTTCATAGCACTCATTTGTTTCTCTTTGTAGTATTTTAACCAGGCTGCTTGGCCTCAGACAGTGCACCTAGACATTAGTGTTGGGTTATGGGGGGCTGGAAGAGGGATTCCATGAGGTCCTCTAATCCAGTGGTTCTCAACTTTTTTTGTACCAGGACCCATTTGTAAACATCAATGGCAAGTCCTGACCCAGTGCCTCTCACTCTTGACCCATAGCCTCCACCCCCAGGCCCCTCAGTATGTGGGGCAGAGGGTGGGTGTGTAGGGGAGGGAATGTGTGTGTGGAGTATGGGGGAACCCAAGCAGCCCTTGCCCATTTTTAAAGTTTGTTCACGACCCTTTCATATATTCTTGCAATCCACTTTTGCGTCACAACCCACAGGTTGAGAAATGCTGCTCTAGTCCAGCCCCCTGCTCAAGGCAGGATCATCCCTGACTGGAAGCCAGCCCAACCAGGAGTGTGTCTAACATTCTCTTGAAAATTTCCAGAAACAGGAAATGTCACATCCTATCTAGGTAGCCTATTCCAATGCTCAATCACCCTCACAGTGAGAAAATTCTTCCTAATCTCTAGTCTAAATTTCCTTTGCGGCAGTTTAACGCCTTTGCTCCTAGTCCTGTCCCCTACGGCCACAGAGAATAGTTTACCTCCATCCTCTTTCATAATCACCCTTCAGGTATTTGAAGATTGTTATCAAATCCCCCCACAGTCTAGGTCCGAGTTCTTCTTGTTTGCCCTTTGTTTACAGTGGAGATAATCTGGAAGTGGGCTAGGTTGGCTTTCCTGATTCCATTCTGCAGGGTGTAAATCAGGATCTTACTTGGTGTCACCAGTCAGAGACCACTTCTTATCATACTGCAGTCTGTTTCTCAGCTATGTTGTAAGTGGTGAAATCAGCATGTGTAATTTAGTTCTCATATAATTAACTACGGTTAACCACATTAACTCTCTTAAACCCATTCCAGGAGGATGGTGCAATGCGTTCTGCTACTGGAACAGTGGCCTGTGATACTTACAGCACTGAAGCTGGCAGCGGTTTGCTCACCAGGCTCCTCTGGCAGGGTTGTCTCTTCTATCTCTGTCAGAAGTTGCTTTGCAGAATAAGTCTCACTTGCTCCAGCCTTCTCTTCTAGCATCAGCCCATGGCTGGGAGGTCCCACGATTTGGTTTCCATATTCAGAGGCTCTACCCCTCTTAGAGGTGCTGGTGGGGAAGCATTAAAATAAACTCAACCAAAAGGCTTCAGAATCTCAGTGATAAGATCTCTCTTTAGACTGGAGTAGGAAAAGCTGGAGGTTTTTCTCTTTTGTTCCTTTGTAAGCTCTGAAACCCTTTATAGCAATTTGTCAGTGCCATATAATGAAGAACAGCTCATGTAATTGTAATGGCCCCAGCAGGTAGCTGCTTTTCTCCTTGGAGGTCTCATCTCCTTATTACTGAGGAAAGCAAATACTATTTTCTCTCATGCTGCAACAAAGATCCCAGAACTCATTGGCAGGTGTCTTGCATATTTAATAATAAAATAATAATTATTAAATTATTCTGTGTTTCTGTAACACTTATCATCAAAGGTTCTCAGAGCATTTTACAATCATTAATGGCCTGACATTTTTAGAAGTGCCATGCACCCATAACTTCCACTGAAGTCAGTGGTAGTTTTAAGTATTTAGCCCCTCTGATAAATAGGACACATAAAACCTCACAGTATTTGTGTGACAGAAGTTTTTGTATATATTTTCTGAATACTGAATTTTGTTTGTAAAACCTTATTGTATGTGATGCATTTGGCTACCCTGCAGATAGGTAATACTGCACATATCTGAATTAACAAATTAAGGGAGAGTTAAAACTTTGCCTAGAGTCTCATAAATAAGATTCTCCGCGCTCACACTGGTTCACTCAAGACACATGAATCCAGTCCATTTTCTGAGCAAAACTTACCAAATTCCACATTTCAGTCACAGAAATTACTAATGACCATTTCTAACAGATGTAACAGTTACAGCTCAGCATAGATGTTCCATGTTTAAAAAATATTTTTTACAAAGGTGAGGGGGCAGGGCGGGGATGAAAATACATAGCAGAAAAATGACAAGCCATAATGTTGCATTGACATACATGCAGTGCAATCTTTTTGAGGTTTTTTTCTCTGAGCAGTGAAATACTGCCCCTTCTCTGCACTTTTATGTATCTAGATTCTTGGCAAAAGGCTAAGTAAGTATCTCTAGCCTTTTCTTTTTACACCAGATTTATTGTTGGCTCCATGTGCTTTTCACTACTTAAGTGATGCAAAACAGCCCTAAACCTGGTTTAACTGATCTGCTAAGACTGCTAATATAGCCACTTTGCATTACCAGAGCTGTATGATTCAGACAGAATGTACTGAAGAATTCAGCTTTTAAACTAAGCTTTTTATAGCACTACTCAAAGGTTCTGGTTAGGTTCCAGTGACATATTTTCTGCACAATCCCCCATTGTTCTTGTGTGCTCTCTCTTACTTGTGAGGTTTGTCTAGAATCTGTGGTTCTGTCTTAAGTCAATCAAGTGACTGCATCTAGACAAAGAATCTGACTTTAGCTGCAGCATATTGTGTGGACTGGAGAGAGGAAACTGGATACCAAAGAAGGGGAGGCAGCAGCAGTCTACCTCAATGCTTGTAACTTACACTACAGTAGGGGAACAGTCATCTGAGCCAGGAAGTCTCAAAATTCTCAGACAGCTCCTCTTAAGATAGTTCACTGCAAAAGCTTTAGAAACACATTTCCAAAGCATATTCATTATGCAAAGATCTGTTTGTACCTTGGTTACTTGGATAAAGGTAAGAGTGAACCAAAGCTCCAAAAATCTATGAGGAACACTTTTTTTCAGTCTGACAGCAAGAGAGTTTGCTTTAGTGTAACTTTGGATGATATATTAGTGTCCCAGAGGCAAAGGGTTAAGAGCAAGAGAAGAGTAAGGGATGTTGGTGTCTTAGGTAACTCTATAATCAGGTAGGGAGGGGACAGACGGGGGCAACAGCCCTGGGCACTGCCTTTGTGGGGGGGCACTAAAAAAATAGTTACTACTGGCTGGTGCTTCCTGGTGTATTGCAACTGCCCTGCCATGCCTCTGGCTCTAATATAGTTGGTCAGGAACCTATCAGCACAATGTGTTGCACTTGAAAATGTTGATCTGTTAAAACTGAAATTTTTGTGGAAATCAACAGATTTTCACAAAGCTTTCATTGAAAAGGTTTCTAAGGTATAGGATGGAATTTCTGGTCAAAACAGAAAAGAGACCTACCTAGAAACAGCCAAAAACCTAGTAGCTAGCTGGGGCATTTCTCTGAGATGTAGGAGATGCAGGTTTATGTCCCAGCTCTGAGTCAAAGGCACAATAGCCTGGAAGAGCCATTAAACAGTACCATCTACTGCAGGTAGAGTAGAGGCTATTTCTGTGTTTCCCATATCCAGGTAAGCACATGAACTATTTTGGGACAAATGTCTCTCCTCTATCCTCTTCTCCTTTTCATGAAAAAAGTTTCAAAGGTCTGGCATTTTTTCCAGTTCAGCTTGAAAGCCAATGTTGAAAAGTTTGTTTTTTTTTCAGTTAAATTTTTGTTTTCTGGAAGCACTAATTTCTAAGACTCCTATTACTTTGGTATCAAACTGCCTGAACTTTAATATTATCTGTCTATTTGGGGTTGACAGGTGCCTAGAATACCCAGTAATTGTTATCTAAGCACTTCTGAGTTAAATTAAATCTGTATATGAGGTAAACTTAATGGAGTCTTCTACTTTTCTCCCAGTACTAGTTATGGGACAGTCATAGACCACGCCCTAACACTTGTCAAACCCTGCAGCAATCTAATAGTCTCTGAGTGTGTCTACACATGCATTAGATCTGAAAGCAGTTTACTTGCGAGTAAACACTCCCGAGCAGGTGTCAACACATGCAGGGAAGCAAGGGCAGGTTTGCTGCTAATGGCAGCAAACTGCTTCCACTTTTTGGGGTCCTTCAGTGGGCCCTTGCCACCACCAGAGGAAACTCTACGCTCCCCCTGAGTGCTAGCCCATGGGCTGGTAGGGAGCACTGGGTCAGGAGACAGCTGTCTCCTGGCCAGGGCTGGGACATTGCACCCTGTCCCTGGGTGGGGGCTGCCTGCTGCTGGAGTGCAGACAATGTCCCTCTGCCATGGCATCAGGAAGCTCCTGGCCCTGGCTCCCCAATCAGGAGCAGGGGACTTGGAAAGAGTTGTTGGGGAGGGTCAGGTCTTAGCCCCCTGCCCTGATCTGCTGGTGGGGCAGCTAGCTTGCTGGGCAGAGGACTGGGATCTACCCCATCCTTGCAGCACTTTCCAAGCCCCATTCCTTGAATACCCAATTGGGGCATAAGGCTGGGACCTGCCCCAACCAAGATAGTTTCCAGACCCTGCTCTGTGATTGTGGGGTGGCAGCTGGAAAATAGGCCTGTGCAAAGTGGGAAGTATTTGCTTCAGATTCAGATTCAGCCAACTCAGAGGGACAGTGATTTGGTTCAGAGATTTGAATCACTGTCCTGATTCAATTCAGCCAAATTGGATCCAAAGATTCAGTGCCGCTTTGGAGATTTGGCCATAAACTAAACAGGCAGCAGTTCTCACCACGCTGGACACAGCTGCCTCCAGCTGGTAAGTCTGTTGTGGTGAGCAGAGGGGGAAGGAAGGGGTGTGGGGAGGGAGGGATTGGGGCTGGGG